TTTGTATGAACTATTTTTATATCTATTTGGATGAAAATCATCTATAAAATTTAATAACATGTATTTATTTTTTATTTATATTTATTAAGTAAATAACATCATATTCTTCTTACTTATATACTAAATTAGAAGTTTGGTGACATTGATATGATCAATGATGCAAGCTTGATGAAAGGTACACACTTTTTTTTTTAAAAAAAGTAGATAAGATGTGCAAATTTTTTTGTTCTTTCCAACAAAAGTGGTTGGAAGGCAAAATTCTTGTGTAAAAATAATAAATCGATTATTAATGTACATAAAAGGTTCTAGCATCCCAAGTTATGTGCCCTATTGCTTGGTGAGTGGTTTTGACCTATTTACACATACAAATCTCCAATATGCAAGCTACAATATGTATAAAGCATTTGAAGTAAAGGATTTTGAGATGATTATACTTATGTTTGATAATAGTTATTGTGGCTTCAATGACATTACTAAAATAAAGTTTTTTATTAAGTAATTTGTTAGTTACAATCTTCTTTGTAAAGTAGTATGTGTAAGTAGAAATTACATAGAAAGTAATTTTAACTATTTATAGTATATTAATTAATTAAACTTAAATAAATTTAAAAAAATTAGAAAATATTTAAATTTTATTTTAATTGAATGGATAGAGAGACATTAAATTATAAATAGAAGTTTGTATAAGTTATAGCTTATTATGATGATTCTTGGAATATTTTATATTTAAATATTTATATTTTGAATAGAAAAAATAGATGTATTTAAATGATTTAATAAAATAAATTATATAAATTTTATGGTATATAATTTTATTTTGTTTTTGGATTAAATTAATCATATAACAAAGTTTTTAGTGGTGAATTTTTAAGGATGGTGGTCATTTAAGGTTTAAGACTATGATTTAGGTTTTGAAGTGAATTAGAATTGGAAATTATACTTAAGCTTAATAAAATTTACATTATTATTATATATTAGAAATAGATTATTAGAGTATATACAAGGATTAAATATAAGTTCTACGATTATTTAGACTTAAAAGCTTAGTCTTTGAATTTTAAAGAGCTTGAAGAAGAAATAAGTTTAAGGTTGTTTATTACTTATTCTTGTAGATATCGAGATAAGTTGCCTCATGAACTTGCTGAAGTTGGAAAAAAGATTGTAAAAGCTTATAATGGCCTATCATTGAGCTTAAAAGTTATAGATGCATTTTTAAGAAGAAAAAAAGATGTTGAAATGTTGAATACAAGCTTTACAAAGATTAAAAAGAAGAAGAGAGTTAGATAGAATAGAATAGAATAGTAACTATAAGATTTGGAATATATTGAAAATAAATTTTAACAATTTAAAAGTTAAAGAGAAGAATATGTTTTAGGCCATATATTATTTCTTTTGAAATAATATATGTCTACAAGGTATTTTGAAAGAAAGATCATTACAAGTATAGATAAGAAATAAAGAAAAGATATTTAAAGATATAGAATATATGTTTAATATATTAATAAATCAATCATTGATAAAAAAAAAAATAGACAAAGATGGAATTATAAGAGTGCATGATCAGCTATAAGACATGCATAGAAAGATTGTTGAAATGAAAATGGAATATAAAGATACATAAACATAGATTATGAATGTAGAGGCATTTCATGAAATTTCAAAAAAAATGATTGTTCAAAGTCTGAAATCAATTGAATAATAAAATTAAGATATTATTATTTAAAAATATCAACATCAAAGTTGGAAACAGAGGCAATTGATTCCTAAGCAAAGTTAAGGAACGTTCATCTATTTGGTAAGTGTAGTCTTTTTTAAATTTTTTATACTTTTTGCTAATTTAATTATTATAAGGATTGTAAATTTTGAATTAAAATTGATTGTTAAAGCATTCATTATTACAATTTTCAATTTTTTATAAGGTTTTTTAAGAATTTATTTAAGATTTAGAATTTGATTAAAGATTTTTTAGGATTAATTAATATTTATTAGAATTAATTAAGATTTATTAGGATTTATTTAGGAATTAAGATTTGATTGGAATTTTTTTAGGATTTGATTTAAGATTTGATTTAAGATTTAAGTTTTGTTTAGGATTTACTTAGGATTTGATCTAAGATTACGATTTAATAAGGATTTGATTAGGATTTAGGATTTTATTAAGATTTTATTAAGATTTATTTTGGATTTCATTAAAATTTGATTAAAATTTAGGAATTCATTAGGATTTTATCTAAGATTAGTTTTTGAGATTTGATTAGGATTTAATAAAAGTTTAGAAAGGATTTCAGTATAATTTCATTAAAATTTGATTTAAGATTTTATTGGGATTTATTGAAGTTTATATTAAAATTTTATTAAAATTTAATTAATATTTCTATTTTTGATTTTTTAAAAAGATTTTTTTAATATTTTCTAAGATTTTTTTATCATATATATTTTATTAGGGTTAATTTATGATTTTTTTTTCTTTTATAAATTCATGACACTTCTTTTGGATTTAAGTAAAGATTTATTAGTATAGATTTATTTGGGATTTATTTAAAATTCTATTAAAGTTATTAGGGTCATCTTCTTGGAAGTTCTATTTTTTCTTCCATAACTAGGTATCGAGTGCATTCTCAAGCAAACTTTATGTAATACAACAATGTGACATGGGTTGAAGAGTTTTTAGAAAGGAATTTGATGGAATAAGGAGATAGAATAAAAGTAATGAGTCATTTATCAATTTTACTCATGAAGTATGATGTAGATTCTATTAATTCATCTAAAATCATAGCATATCTAAAACATTGTTGGATAGTATATAGAATTTATATTTGTGAATTATTAGTTGATTAATATTATGGATTTATTTTTAAAATATAAATATATATTATATTTGAAGATATTATAAATATTAGAGACATTTATTTTGTATAATATGGAAATTATTTGACATTACATATTAGTACAAATAAATGAAGTCAATGTGGATTTGACTTTATATGCATTTGAAGGTGTTTATTAGGTTGAAAACCTAGCCAAGAAGTTGGCCATGTGGTGCACATGTACAAAACTTGTTTTGCAAATTAGACACATGTTTCATAAGTTGAACATATTTCAAAGGTCCTATAGAATATTACTACATAGTTCGTATTTAGACAATATATATATAGAGGTAAGAATGAGACTATTATCACTTTTATCAATGCCTTTCTTGTTTATAGTCTTGTTTCAAGAACCTGTAGTTTTCTTATTTTTGGAAATAGCCATTCTAATTTCAATATTATACCATCTTTTAGTGACACAAAAATATATTAAGCCTTTAGTTCTTTGTGATTCATGTCTTTGTCAAAACCACCCGTATGTTGTAGATTTGATTGATCACCATGTCTTGTAGCCACTACTTTAATATTACATTATCTATTAATCAAAAGTAACTCAATACTCTAAAAATACCTTTGATAAATATGTCATCTTTCTAAATCTATATTATAATATACATCTATTTTTAATTAATATATTATATTTATAATATATTAATTAAATAATTTAACTCATATTACATAAAATCATCTAATATAAATAAAGCTAATAATAACATTGATCTTTAAAAATAAGAGAGTTTTTCAAATAGTCCATATATACTAATAAACTTAGAGTTAAGATCCATGTATAAACAACAATTGTTACCTACTCAAAAATCATTATTTACAAACTTAATCAATTTTCAAAGCAAAATTTTCACAATAATTTTTAATACTACTTATAGATAATATGACTTATACAACACCATTAACAAACTAAAATATAGAACCAAATTTTAATTTGAGTCATATTGTAGCAAAATATAATAAAAGAAATAAAATGCCATCTAATATTTCATGTGATCTTCTATACAATCACTTTAATAGTGGTCTACTTTGATCACAATTCCAAATGTATATAGAATCCTTTCTCAACCTAAGCAATCATTTGATGAAATCTATAAGACTCTAGAGTCTTTGACAAAACAATCCACTTCTAAAATTAAGGCAATCTAATGCTATTTTTTTTAATCAAAATTTAGAATCATTTCTTATAATTTTTTCTAATTAATAGTGATACAAGATTATTTATTCTATGATCCACAACTAATAGCTTTAGACATAGTCATTTACAAACTTAAGATATACAAGATAGTTTAAGATAGTTGAAATTGGAATATAATTATTCTTTACTACATTAATAATAAAGGCCTAAAGCATCCTCATTCACTCCTTCTTAACATCCAATAAAGAATATTTGACAATTCACTCATTGGCTTCAATAATATAAGGATGATATGGCATCTTACTAGAGAGGCTTGCTTCTAAATTATTTACAAATAATAAAATGATATAATCTATAGATAAGAAATTTAATCAAAGAAAAAAAATAGATTAGTGAAAACATCAAAATTTATTAATTCTGAAAATATCAATTGGTACAAGACATAAATCTTTCTTTCTTTTGGGTAAGAAAAAAAAAAAAAAAAAAAAAAAAACTTAAATATCCAAAATATATCAAACAAATTATATTGACCTAGATCAAAGAAGAAAAATTAACAATCATGACGATAGGTAACTTTGTCACATAAAATTACACTCCCCACCAAAAATAAGAATAGGCCGCCATGAATTTAACCAAGAATTCTTCTATGTAACTAATTAGCAAAGAGAGGTATGCCATTATGTTTTAATCATAATAAAATAAAATAAAAATTCAACCAAAATCTCATGGGACAACACATGGCTGTAGGACATCACCCCAGTTGGATAGAATTTACCTCGCATCAAAACAGAAAGTGGGTGAAATGACATCACCCACCGCCGCCACCACAGGAGCTTGTGGGATTATTAAATGATGCACATCGACATCGACCCAGCAGGACCGCATGTCGCGACCAGAAATGGCGGCGGGGCATCCTCGTACTTGTAGGAGGTCGGAATGTACTTGAGAGCCCTCATCAGGTGTGGAGACCCAAACCTAGACCCCGGAGTCTGTAGGCTGTTTCAGTAGGCGACAGCGTCATAAGTTTGCAGCTTCCACCTAATCGACTGTCACAGTTTGCTTCGAGTCTCCGGGTTGCGTTGCTTCAGGTAATGTCGCTGTCGATTCTCCTAATTGTCATTGAGTGAAACATCTGCTTACATAATTCATCCGAGGTCGCGAATATTTGTCATCCACTTAATCTAGATGTACAGATCACTTAGGCCTTACATTCATATAGTCAAAAATTTATCCTACATTATTGTGTATTAAGGCACATTGTGCACGGTTAGTACAACTTGATTATTGCTACAACATCCCAAATATTATATCTCTTTGAGTGTATGTTATTGGTGGTGTGTTATGGGTCGATGTCCTTGACCCTAATGCAACTTGTTAGATCATCATCTCGTTAGTCCAGTTGAAGAGCCGAATGGGATTAGCGCCATTAATATGAGTCTTTCGAAAACCTGACAGGGGTGAGAATGTCAGACCAGCTTGTCACAGCTTTGTTGTTGTTAGCAACGAAGAGGAACTAAGGTGACGGCCGTATTATAAAACGAGCTTGGAAATTACAAGACTTTGTGACTTCTATGGTTTTCTATGCATTGCTGCCTTAATGCATGGCAACACGGTCTCTCTAATTGTTTCTGCCTGTAAAGTTAGGAGTTTAAGCGTGTTCAAGAGCTGATTTTTTGTCAAGAGCGTTTAAGCGGTTACAATGAACGCTGAGAGGAAGGTGCAGCCGGTTCTGCTGTGCTTCGATGCACCGAACTGGCTCCACTGCGAATTCTGGGGAGAGAATGCTGACTTCGAGTTCATGAAGGGTGATCCTTTTGAAGCCTTACGGGCTTCTGACGATGCTGTGGATCGCTTGGTGAGTGCTGCTTCCAATTCGGGTTATGAACTCTTGGTTGTCAGCAAACGCGCCGGACACAGTCTTAACAGAGACAAGAGATTACAACAGCGGCGTGATTCTGAGATACTCAATGAAAAAAAAGGAGTTTGTCTAAATGCCGTTAGTTTCCTGGAGGAGTCGTTCAGTAATCGCGGTGTAAGAGTGGTTATCCCTACTTCTGTAGAATCGACGGACGTGCTGGCAGCGTTCGCAGTTGCCAACGCTGCCAAGTTTGGTGTTGTTGTCAGTAGGAATCGTAATTTTTTGAGGTACAATGTCCCGATTCCCGTATGCCGGAATTTCACGGTAAGGAATGGTAAACTGCTTCTTGAGCTGAGCACAATGGATAATAATGACGACAATTCCTCGAGCAAATCGAATGGAGAGTTTCGTCGAATGTCTCGTCCTGTGCAGCCGCGCCTTGTCTTTAGTAAATGGAGATGGTGTGAGGGATTTTCTAAAAAGTACCGTCCGTCTGCGTTGCCAAATGGAGTGTTAAGTTTCGGCACTAGCAGTTCTTCCGACAGAAGGATGGGGAGCCTCCATGTTCTTGCCCGCCCTCTGCGTGCAGCGCTATATGCTATAATTGGGGAGAAAAAAGCCATCGAGCGGTTACCAGAGTGGAGTGACGAGAAGGAGGAAGTAGTGTGGACCGTGAAAGGTGTGGACGCCGATCCTGCACTCACGGAATTGCTCAACGATCCACTGGCTGTGGTCAATTGGCTAGTGGAACGAGACGTTCCTGTTTTAGACACATTGGAGTCCTGGCGTGCCAAGGAGCGCATATTCAACACATGCGCCCTGGCGGCTGAACTCGTTGCAGTGGCCTCACAAGGCGCATGGACAATGCACAAGTGCATGGAATTGTTTTCAACGACAATTTCCTCCATTAAATGCAAATGTTCGTATGCGCAGTTTTTAGAGTCATCATCAGACAGCATTACCGAGGCAAGTCTCCTCTTACCAGATTTGCAAGATTGAGTCGCAGATTTCGTGCAACGATTTCGATAGGGTCCTTTTCCCTTAACAGAGCGAAGCGCTCACGAAAATTTTGTGCTTCTCGTTTGCATGTGTTTTAAATTGTTCACAACGACAACTCATATGCTTTCGCAGAGCAACGTCATGGAACCACCTTGTTGTAGAATACTCTTCTTGGAGTAAATGACTTACGTATGCGCATGATGCCTACAACCAGGAACCGAGCAAACTCGCGGAGCAAGTGAGTGCACTAGGGGAGTGAATTGAGTCGAAGTTGACCGTGCTGGAACTGGGTTGTGAAACTACAACCTTCTCTGGATCTAAGTCAGAAGCTGACCTACCGAAACACGGACCAGATTAGCAGCAAGCTTCTGCCAAGTCTTCTAAAACAACTACTTCTGCTTACACTGTCGAGTGGGTGAGGGTGTGCAATAGTACCCCATTTTGTAGGATAGCCTGCAGGACAATTTTGCAGAGATTCAAGAGTTTGTTTGAATTCTAGACTATGCCAGATATCGAGCACGTTCTTGCTTCAGGTCGAATGAGTCCACATGAACTGTTCATGGCAAGTAGGTTTGGGTTCAACCTCTGAATCTCCACATTCGAGACCTGAATCTCGCAGATCTCAATCGGTGATGATCAAACAATCTATTGGCCATGGTTTAAGGCATTGTTGCAACTGGCACTTTACAATGCGAAACTGGGAACAGTGCTCGTTGTGTGGGCACAGTCCGTGTTTTATTTTACTTGAAATACCATACTACTTTAAAAGATAATCAGTTTTTGCTTTAACCTCCTTTTGCACCAACCGTATCAACCACTGTGGGGTTTCGAGGGGTGTTTGTGAGATCGTAATATTGAGAAATCATGTCTCCTATTTATTCAGGCAACTCATGTTTTACAAATTTCCTAGAGCGCATACAAAAAACGAGGATTGTGCACGCACTTTCATATTATAACTTTCTCTTTAGTCAATACATGCATTTGGAGTTTTGGGATTTTCTGAGGTGGAGAACACGGTGAACCAAGTCGCGAACTGGTTGAAGCAACGGCGAAGAAGCCCTCTCGGTGATGTCCGAACCTAGTCAGAGTGCAGCAGTGGCTCACGTGGCAGGCTTGCCCATCCTGCGATTCGACCAAGACGCCGCGGAGGCCTTCGTCGCGATTTCCGATGCTTGCTGCGCCAATTCTCGGCATTCTTGATGTCGCGTTTCTACGTGGAGGAGCGAATTCTATAAGCGATCTGGAGCTCAGTAGTCTGTTCGGAGATCAGCTCGTCTACGGCAAGTTGGTTAGTAACGCTCTGGGTATGTGAGAGTTTGGGTGCAGTCCGCATCAGGGTGTGGGAGTTTGGTTTTTGTTGTTGGGATGTGTGCGTTGGAGAAGAGAGATGGCGACATGGATTCGAGCTGTACAGGTGCTGGGGAGGAGGGTGGGAACGAGGCCCATGGTGATGGAGGGGGAACGAGTGACTGTTAGGAGGTTGATTTCACAGTCGGCCAGAAAGGATGGGGCATTGGATGTGGGTGCGGTTGGGGTGATGCAGCAAGGGTGGTCTTTCTCCAACCGGAGTACGTTTGATTCTTTGATGATGTCGCCAGGGCCGCAAAGAGGCGTGCAGCGGCGGGGTGTGTTCATTCGAGTGGAAACTACCCCAAATCCGCAGTCGCTTATGTTTTATCCTGGGAGAGTTGTGATGGAAGTTGGTAGTTCTGACTTTCGTAATGCCCGTGCGGCTATGGCGTCCCCTTTGGCGAAAGCTCTCTTTGATGTAGATGGTGTCGTGAGGGTCTTCTTTGGCGCCGATTTTGTGACAGTGGCGAAAGCCCAGGACGTGTCTTGGGATATTCTGAAGCCTGAGATTTTTGCCGCCATTATGGATTTCTACGCGACTAAGCAGCCTCTGTTTTATGGGTCTCACTTGGGAGCTTCTGACACTGCTACCGATGAGGATGATGATGACACCGTAGCAATGATGAAGGAGTTGCTTGAGACCCGTATCCGCCCCGCTGTGCAAGTTGATGGAGGCGATATTGAGTACTGGGGGTTTGATCCAGAGTCAGGGATAGTGTCGCTGAAGATGCAAGGGGCGTGCAGTGGCTGTCCAAGCTCAGCTGTCAACTTGAAGTCGAATTGAGAACATGTTGCTGCATTATGTGTCAGAGGTGAAAGGTGTTCAAGAAGTCCATGACGAGGACTCAGACGAAGAAGCAAATGTGGTCGGCTGAATTGGATCTTTTCCACTTGCATGCCTTGGAGACGATTACTGTGAACGGTTCCCAGATATCTCTCGTGCTCCTAACAACTTCCTTTTTGAAAGATTAGTGAACGATCTGACTTGTCCTTTTTATCTGTTCCAAGTGGCAAACTTGAAAGTTTGTAGCGTGTACAGTTATGGCAGTACTGCTGTGATCAAACTGCTGAACTCCGGCAGGTTTTAATTTCTCAGGGTAGGATCCAACTTTGTGAATATGCAAGAGCGTCTTTCAGAGTAAATCAGCTTTTGTTGGTCTTACTCTAAAACTAGATTTGCCGAAAAATCTGAATCGATCAGATGTACTGTATATTGAGAAAATGCAGCAGTAGTGCTGCACTAGATCACTATTTCCTACGTAGCTATGGGGTGAAATACAACAAACGAAATAATGTTCAAGGATTTGGGCTTTATCGGCTTGGTGGTAAGCAGGAACCCGTTGCAGATTTGGCAGTAGAAAAATAGATTGGAGGCTAGTTTGTATGGAAAGAGGGGTTTAAATCACTACCCTTTCGAACCTTCTGTAAATGAGTGATTTAACCTAAATATTTTACGCTGATGGCATGCTCTCAGTGTTCTTAATCAATTTTGAGTGAGATATGTTGTGATCGGTATACACTTGAACTAGAGTTCATGTGAATTAAAATTAGAATCATCTCTTATTGTTACAATCGGCTCCAAGTACTTCACAGCAGATGCATAAAATGGTTTTCATTCCCTTTTTTCTGGTTTCTCAAATGGACAAAAAGATATCTATTCCCTCTAGTTCAAGTTCAGTATCATGCAAGGATGCAATGAAGGTTCTCCCAGCGTATGCTTGAACATACTGCAGCTTTTTCTGAATTACTGCTTATTTTGTGCCAATTATACTAACGACCACTCTAACTCTCACATCCTCACACCAGCTTTGAAGCATTTGAAAGTTTTCGAGCTGTAAAACTTTCTTTTTGGTCTTGGTGCTAGCAATATGATTGGGGTCTAAGAGCATCAGACTAACGGAAGACAGAGGAGCAGTCTCTCAGTTTTAAACCTTCCTCTAACGACATGCGTACAGAACATGCACGTTTCACTGCCTGCTCATTGTAATACTTTTCTCCAAACTGGGACGGAATTGTAATCAATTAATCATCATCATCAAGTTTGTGACGATCGTCATGTGGGAATCGCCCTTGCTCACTACTTGTCGTGCACCAGAGTTTCCTCCACCGTGATCGACTCTTGGAAGCTCCTACAGTCAACTGCCATCTTGTCGAATTAACTCTGATGATTCTCGTCGCTACTGTTATCATCTAAGACGAAGGAAAAATAATAATAATAATAATAATCAACTACTTTTCTTACTCAGCATCAAAGATCCATCACCGTGAATACGAACCCAACTGTAGATCGAGAATGTAAGAGATCAACTCAGCTCCAAAATGCCAGACCTACAATTCACGCGATTGGAGATGAGCGTCGTTCCGGTCAATCCAACTTCATTAACAGACTCTCTCAAAGGAAACAGTACAAATTTAGATACAATGAGCAAGATAGAGGTCCACAGCGATGTGCCTCATGAATGGCATCAAAATGTAAAGAAATGAAACAATGGTGAACTAGAATTAAAGCTTCTGATTCAAAGCCATTCAAATATTGTGCGCAACAAAATATGGTGCCATTTGAAGATGGAGAATTTGAAAAAATATCCACTATAGAATATCAAAGCTAATATAATTTAAAAAATACTATAATATTGTACTTACTAGCTAGATGTAAACTTCCTAAAGAACCAAATATAATTTAAAAAATACTATAATATTGTACTTACTAGCTAGATGTAAACTTCCTAAAGAACCAAATGTCGAAGGGTGATTTGAATTTCTTATTTACAAATCAAAGATAACCACAATACATGAGGCCTAGGTAATTTCATTTTGTAGTATTCAAAGTTTCAAAAATGGTTAAAAAGAATGCTCAGTCTAACTTAGTACTTAACTGAAAGAATAAGATTTATATAGGATTTGCTATTACAAGGGCTTGTTACAACTAAAGAGCAATTATTTGTGAACTAGAAGCAAAGAATAGATCTAACAAAAACAAAGAGATGGATTTTCATACTTCACTACTTATTTGTATTTTGGTGAAGGATATGAATGGATTATGGAAACAGCAATAAATACAATAAAAAAAATTGAAATGGAAATGGTTAATTATGCATTAATAATTACTAATTCTTTAGACTTTATAGCAAAAATAAGATTAGAATAGAAAGTCGCTACAAGTCTAGGTAAATGATTGAGGAATTAATACAAAATTTCTTTTTTATGTATAGGTGCTAGAAAAATCAAGTGAATTACCACTATAGATAGTCCTTGCAAATGGAAAGATATCCTATTTTCTTCTATTAGAAAGTACTTGTTTAAGTATTAAATTTTATTTAAGTCCTATTAGATAAAAAGAATTGATGATTTATAAGATAGAAGTTATTTTAAGTACAAATAATGTTAAAATCTATATTGAGAGTATTGGTAGCCTCACAAATATATGATTGGTTGCTTATAGAGAAGACAACCATGACAATTGAATATACTACCAGATGTCTTTAGAGGTTGAAAAAGAAAGTATGTTGCATTTCCAAAAGCATAGGAGACAAGATGACTTAGTCAGAGACCATGATTTTTATAAAGATTCAACTTTGTGTACTCTTCATAGATTGTGGAAATATAGCTCTATACTTTGAAGCCATTTAAGGCCTAGAAATTGAAAAAAAGAGTTGTGGTTAGGTCTCATAATAAGCTAAAAATAATAATAGATTATAACTTATTGCTGTCAAAAGGTGTATTTATAATTATCACAAAAGTGAATAATAGATATGCTATTATCAAGAATACATGGATATTTTTAATATCTCAACATATTTTAAGAGCATGTATTATATTACTGTGATTTTTTTTTTTTATAATTTCTCTATAATTACATCTAATTTTTCTAAAGTAATGGCAATATATTTAAGTTTTTTTTTGAGAAAAGATAATAATAAGGCAAGATGTTAATTTAAATGTAGGTAGTTTGCAACTTTCAAAAATACTCTCAAAATATAATATTACTTTTAAAAAAATAAAGTTATTTATTTATTTATTTATATGAATATATAAATTGATAAATTATTAAAAACATAGCTTTGCTAAGATATTAAAAATATAATTGTAAAAAATCAAAATATCAATAAAGAAAGAATGAATATGAAACAAAATTAGATATATGACAAGATATAAGAATAAAAAATCAAAAGACTTAGATTGTTAGAAGATTTATTTTAAAGAGACTAAGATTTTTTCTTTTTATTTTTCTTTTTTTTTGCTATTTTTTATAAACTTTAGCATCAAGATTTTCTTAAAGCTTCTAACAAATATTATAAAGATCACAAAATATTGCAAAATACTAAAGAATTTTTAATTTAAGCTTTCAATAGATTGAGATTTTTTTTTGTATCTATTTTAATATCAAATAATAAATTATAAAATTTTAATAATAATAATTTAATATATCTTATAAAAATAATTATAAAGTATTTATAATTATAATTATAATAACTAATAAAAGATAATTTCAAAATTCTAAAAATAAATATATGGTTATTTGAACAAAAAAGAGTATTAAGTGAATAATTCAAAAAAAATAATATAAAAAATAGATGCCACCATATGCATAATTATATGAATTGCGATTTAAAATTCTAATCTTTAGAAAATAATATATTCTATTGCTACCTAGAAGATGAATGATTTGATTCTTCTAAGTAGTTTATTTTGACTCTACATATAGTCTTATAAGATTCAATCTATGTCTATATAATGTGCTACTTTTTACAATTGCATAAGGTGGTACAATCTTTCATGTATATAGAATCTTTGCTCTACAAATGGAAAAGGAGCCTTCATTTATTAGAAGTTTTTAAGATTGATTCTTCTTTACTACTCATTGCACTATAAACTTTAATAAGCAATATGAATGTTGTCATGCTAGAAAGTAGCATAATATATAAAAATAATATGAAATATTATGAAAGTTTGGATTTTAATTAAAAATTAAATTAAATTAAAATTAAATAAATATGATAAAAAATTTATCTAATTTATTTAAATTTATAGTTTAAGTTTTGTAATTAAAGATAGAAGATATAAGATTTATTAGTAAGAAGTTTAGATGGGCTTTGGAATAAAAAGTATAATATTTTGATTCCTAAGCCATTCTATGTGGATGGATAAAATGGGTGATAGAGGACTTCATTTCTATTGGTTGAAAATCATGCTCAATGGCCTTCAAGATATTATCTAGAACCGCTTTAAAGTTTGAGACCACTTTATAGCAATCCATTCGAGGAAAGGCACTGCATTCAAATTTTGGAGGTTGGATTCAAAATTTTATATTTTGGACTAGAATTTGGATTAAAGAAATGTGTGATTTGGAGTAGTAATGAGAGAGTTATGGTTTTTTGAAGTTAGGATGTGATTTTGGTAACTACTATTATTCTTTTAAGCATATAGAGAGTTGTAGAAAAGCTTTGAAGAATTGGAAAGTGAAGTTCAAAAGCGGACTTAAAGAGCTACATTTCATATAAAGCAATTGATATATTCTAATCTAAAAAAATAAAAAAATAAAAAAAATTATTCAAAGTTAATATTCAAAACTGAGATTTGTAACTAAGTTGTTTTTAATAGATGTTTTGGTTTTTATCATATCTTGAATTTTTGAAAAAAAATTGGTTCAAAATTTATTTAAATATAAATGACTATATTAAAAATTTGTACCTAAAAATTCATGGTATTTGAGCATTGGATTTTTAAGATATGAAGGAATTAGTTCGTGGTTGCCTAAAAATTAACATATTTAAAATGTGCTAGAGATTATAAAATATTAGAAGTCTTGAAATGAATTTATAGTTGAATTTTTGTATAGAAGTAGTCAAGGATATAAGTTAACTTGTGGAGAATTTTGAATCCAACTAGACATTTAGATTAGAAGTTATTAAATAATACTGTGAGGGTAAATTTTTTCTTCACTCCAAATTACAAGATGGTCTCAATTAAGAGTTGTTTGTAATTGATGGTAAGAAGTAGAAGTAGCAATAAACAAGAACAAAAGAAGGACAACACCAAATAAGTGAAACAAGTGCAATCAAGCAATTGTACACTACAAAATTAGTCACGGTCTGTTCATTGGATTTTCACCTAATAAAAAGTAAAAAGTAAAAAATATTTTAAGATATATAATTTTTTATCTTTTCAATGACATAAAAATCATGTAATTCCAAGTTATTATGAATAAGTTATGATAGATTAAAAATAGAATGTAAATAATAGAAAAGTTAAGTAAATAATTTTTACCTCAAGAGTAACTTGCTTAAGAAATCAGGAGTTCGAACCTCACCAAGGCTCACAAGTAGTGTATATTGGTCTTTTAAAGAGGCCTTGAGGCCTTAGTCTTATCTTCCTACCTATATCCAAGGTGGTACAACCTATGTGGGAATTGTGCACCTCTCTTCTTACAAGGACTATACTAGCTGCTGGTCCTCCTATTTCTAATAGTAAAATTACTTTTTTTGTATTTTTGACTTCACCATGGTATCCAAAAACATCCAATTAGCCTAGAAACCTTGTATAGTCTTCAAATCTTGTTTCATTTCTTCATAGTGGCTCTTAAGGTTGTAAAACTCAATTTTACTAAGGTCTTGAAATTTTCTTTAAAATTCATAAAAAATCCTAAATAAATTCTAAATAAATTCTAAAAAATCTTAAAATATTTTTATAATGCTAATATCTATAAAAGGTTATATTTTTCTATTTTTATGATTTTTTATAGCAATAAAATCAATTTAAATCCACTAAAAATCCTATTTTCTACATACATAACTTAAAAGACATGAAGTTCTTTTTCATGCTTCTTTTAACTATTAATTAATCATTGATAGGATTTTTGTAAGTAATACATGTAAATATGAAGCCAATATAGAAATTTGTCTCAATTACTAATCATTAATACTCTATAATGAGTAAAAATACTAAACTAACTAAGATAATTGCCTCCAAGACTTATTAAGACTCTAATATTGTAATTTTTCTTCTAATAAGTCTTTTATATTTATAAATACTTCAAAATTCTAACAAGTATGTGAATAGTCAAAAAGACTCTTTAGCCTTAGTATTTATCTCATTAAATGACTCAATACTATATTTTTAACTAATCCACCAATTAAGATCAATTAGTGGAACTCACAGATACATTTATGGAAGGAATCCTCATAAGAGTAGAAGTGATTTTAGGATATCTAGTCACATCTTAGATATTCTTATGCATCTTAGACTTGTGTATTTGATGTAATTGTCTTCTTGAAGAGAAGCTATAAATTATATATGTATTTTATAATCTTGCAACTTGTTTGATTGATTAGTGACAGCCAAAGGCCTAGTGCTTTCTTGAGGCAACTCTCTCTACTATGACAACATTATGTTTCTCTTACTATTTTGTGTTTACTTGCCACTTAACAAGTTGAAAGCCTTAAGTGCACACATTTTGTACATAAGAAACAATCTTCCAAGTATGGTATATAGAATTGCTATTTAGAAGTGTATGAAATCAAAACCTATTTTTTGTGATTTCTTCAAATTTTCTTCTTATTTATAAGAATATTATATGGAATTAGCAGTGTTACAAGCTTCTACTTTTGTTAAGATAATGAATTACTTTTTGTGAAGATTTGAATACTTATTAATTTAAGTAGTTATCAAATAAATAAGTATATACAAATTAATGTATTGTCATTTTATAGATGTATATCCACAAATAAATAATTAAATAATATTATCTTTATATAAGATAATACAACTTGAAATAAGATAAAATTGATTTTATAACCATATTTGACATGCATTCACATATTTATCTTTTATATATTATTTTTAAAAATTAATTATTATTTTTAAATATATATATTTTAAATTAAATTAAAATATGCCATTATAATTTTAATTTTTTTAAAATATTTATTTTTTTATTTATTTTATAATTTTAGATACATATTTAATAATTATATTAAAATAGAACTAAAAATAAAATTTGACATAATAAATAAATCAATCTATCAATAAAAAAATATTATTACCTTTGTGATTTAAAAAATAAATAGAAAACGTGATTATGACATGATTATTCTATAATACATCCTAAAATTAACATCATATCTTGCAAAATTAAATAAAATTTTAATTAATTTATTTAAAAACTTAATTATTCATTAATCAGTTTTCACTTATTCCTTCTCACGAAACATTTTCATTTGTTAAGTAATTTAAAATTAACTCAACACTCGAATATAGCATTTTACCTCATTAGTCAAGACATTGTGCCAAAATTTAGCCTCATTGCTAAAATTATAAGATTTTATAACTTTAGCAAGACATTGTGCCTAAGTTGAGTTCTATTGGCATTGGTTTGTGAAAAAGATTTATAATTTAATCTCATAATTGTTTACACTGGCTTCGGCCAGCTTTTTTTATGTGTATTTCTGTCAGTCGGTACTCTTTTAACTTAGTTGTATGGCACTATTGAGCAGCATGCCGAGTGAAGATAATAGTTCTAGTGTTTCAGAAAACCCACATCAAGATCACTAAAACAAACATCATACGAGTTGGAGCTTGAGGTACAATATGTACACGATATCTCCACATTGTTCGTGTCGCAAATGTGGAAAGCAGCTCTGGGAAGCGTTCGTTTATATTGAGGAAGAATACGTTCATCAAGGGTTTCGTTTTAGGCTTTCCAAACGGACTTGATGTGCTCGGAACTCTTTTCTTATTTCTTCTCGAATTTCATCGGAGAATCCAAGAGGAGGTAGGTCATTAATTGAGCTACTGGGAGCAGAAACTTCAGAAGGTCGTCCTGGGTAGCTTGGAATAGGAATACCTGCAAGTCCCATAGTTCAAGAACAATTAATAACCGCCTCAAACACCTTGTCAGATTTGTACAGCAAAGAGAAAGAATGTATGGTACAAAATACCAGGTTACAAAGCATAATTTGCTTTCAGTCACATAGCCAAGCCAATTCCAATGCAAACATGCTTTCGTGAGCTTATTTGAGAGGACATCTCTACAAATCTCAGGTGGACTTCACACGGTGTCAGCTGCCACCATCAGCGATCATCCGCGTCAATACCACTTCTGTTAAAACAAAATGCAGCGATTATAGGGAAGGATAGTGAGCACATCGAACCTTCACATGCCTGATGAGGTTTAACGTGGAATTTGCAAGCAGCCGGTAACCCGAGAATCTGCTTCATGTCGAAACCTTGCGAAATCGTGGCGGCGTAACACAGGCACTCCGGTGAGAGTAGGAGCTCGCTTAAGGCCATGCAGCAACCGTGGGACACAGGATCAGCGCCTGGGCCCTTGATCGAGTCAGAGCATGGAACAAGCTCCAGAACCGCCCCATTGCATCTCTCTATAACTCCCGCTTCTACCGTCGCTGTCATTGCTGCTCCTACCTGCATGCATTCAAGTTGGACCACATCCCTCTTACAAAAGATAGCAGAAATAAAACATACCAAAAGTCTCCACATTACTTTAACATTTACTCTGCAAGATTCTAGAAAGTGGAGGCACGAGGACAAAACATAAATGATGCATTAGAGTCCCAAATGTGCTTCCCTTTGAAACCACAGTATTAGAACAAGTTCAAGTTAAACGAAGTTTGAAGAAACTTTCGATTTCTAACTTAACACAGAAGTCAAGCATACGTCTACTACGTAAATTTAATTTGGAATCGTATTTTAAATCAATTATTGAACTTCTGTGTCTCCAACTTGTCGACTGTGAATCTTTTCCTTAACATGTGTAGCGCTGTGGCGAAAGTGAAAGCGAAGGTCAGCGACCGATCTAAGGATCATGACATGATGTTGACACGAACCTAATAAACCATCACAGCGTTGGATCCTCATCTATCAACCATTCTCAACACGACAGAAAAATATAATGTAACAAAATAAATCCACCGTCTATATATGACGCACAGCAATGGAGCGGGAAATCGAAAGTCCAAGTTAAAAGGCAAAAACAAAGAAACAAAAAGATTGCCATCATCTTCAAAATTTTCAACACTCACAGCGACGCCGATGAACAGGACCTACTCCTTCAACACGAAATAACCATTACAATGCACAAAACTCCGATATCTAATCGCAACTTCGAACAATCAAAACTGAACCGCAAGAGTATGAGACACAAGCTGGATTCCTCCTTTCCTTGCGCCAGAAAAGCCCAAACGCTCGCAGGACTATCCAATGCAATTGAAGTCATGTCCTCTCAATTCTTCCCAAACTGCAGCAGACGAGATCTTACCAAGACTAAAAGCAAAACGGCAGACATTCTGTGCATCATCTTCCTGCACATGGTTTGCATGATCCAGTCGTTGGAATGTCTAAATGCAGAGGAAGGGAGGTTGATGCAAAATGCGAACAATGCAGTCGAAATGGCGCCATACTTATGAGAATCTAAGCGGTAGAGGAAGTGGAAAGGTAGGGTGTGAATCGTTGGGGGTCCGGTAGAAATAACTACTTTCCACCAAACCCTCCCTCCGCTATAGAACGGCAGCTGCTACTTACAGCAACAAAATAGCAACAAACAATCAAACTAGCGAACACACAAACAAATAAACAAAAAGGCGTAGATCTCTGCATTAGGAATCATGTTTCTGGATCCTTCGCTCCACTTCAATCCATGATGGGTTTTGAACATCATTCTAAAATGTATGAAGGGTTTAAGGTTTTTAGAGCATCGAATTGAATTTCTAGACAAAATGAGTTCGAGGTATCATCTATATTGGGATTGAATTTGTGGTGCCCAGAGTTAACTGCAACTGCTCTGTGTCATACAAACTGGAATAGACCTTGCTTCCGTTGTGCATGCGCACCTTGGTCCATACATCTTATCAGTTTAGACTTCATAGTTTTGGAAATTCCATTCCTGCATTTATAGAATCAAAGTGTGATTGATACTCAGACCAAACTGAGTTATATTTTACGAGAATTCTTGGGTATAGATTCATGATGTTAAGCCTGAAATTGTAATTGATGGCAAAATTTGAAGTATGGAATTAATTTGGTATATTTTATTTTGTACGTATAAACACAAATCAATGTAAAGTATATGACAAAAGTTTCATTTTTTTTTTTTAAAAATAATCTAGTGACTTTGTTATATGTCTTTGGGAAGTCTAGTTTGAGAAACACAAAACCTTGCTTAGATTTTATTGTTTATGTTGATGTGTTTTGAGTTGAAAAAAATATTGTTGAGATTGTATTTTATTAAAAAAAAAAAAAAAAAAAAAAAAAATGTTATTTTTTCTTGTTAAGTGTTTTATTTTTAACTTAGATACTGTGTTGTAAAGTATTAGAAGACATTTTATGGGTAGTGTTGGGAAGAATAATTGGACGTCAATTATCAAAATCATGACTTATTATTATCTTTGACTTAATAACAATTAATATCCTAATGGTTCTTTAAAAAATAAATAAAAATATAAAAACAAAACTATTGATTTCTTCTCTTATCCTGTTACTTTATGATTTTTCTATAAAAGACTGAAAATATTGATGAAATTTTTTTATCTAAAAATTTAACTTTTAATTAAATTTTTAGTTGAAAATTATATTTTTGTAAAAAATTGTTAAAATATGTATTTATTTCCACAATAAGCTTAGATAAATAAGAACTGAGACTTTGTTACCATAACCTTATATAGTCCTTAGTATAACCATAGTATAACTTAGAAAGTAATAGAATGCATATAATTTGTATAATATTATTTTTAAAAGATGATATCTTTTATTCATTCAATGATTTTGTGATTACAAAAATTTAATTCTTTTTTCTTCCAGAGGAATTCATTGGTTATAAAATCATGTTTAACTATCTATCAAATCTTGATTTTTATTTAAAGTCCTCTTTAGGTTTTTTTTAAAGAAAATTAATTAGCTTAAATTTTTCTAAGCCTATTACAAATACTACTATGTTTTAATGTCAAATATGCAAGCTAATTTGGTATGTCAATTCTTGTTTTTTTATTATATTTATTTTTTATATGGATTATTGTTTTTGTATATCTAATTGTGATTTTTTTATTTAATATTTTTAGATATAAGAAGACATATTTTTTAACTTTTCTAATATCACTATTTTTATTTTTTATTTTTTCAAGTTAAGAATCATAGATTTACTATAAAGTCTTATAAAATACATTATTGATTTCATATATTTATATTTATTTAAAGAATTTAAATCTTATAATATTTTTGCTAAAAAACCTTTGATTTTATAAAAAATACATGAATTGAAGGTCTTCAAAACATTAGTTAAGTATTTAAATTAATTATATTGGTCTTGAAAATAGGAATTGACTGATGATCAAGAGTTTTTTTAATATATGAATGTGGATAATACAAATTTTAAGCACAATGTCTTTTATTCAAATAGATAATTGAAAAATATTAGAAAATAGATGAGCTGGAAAATTAAGTAAAAAAAACATGAAATTTGTACAATTAGGTTGACAGTTGTATTATTAATTTTTTTCTTAATATAATCATTGAATAGAACCAATTATTTTAGAATAAGAAATAATATAAAATCTAGTTTATACTTCAAAGTTTTGGTGTGAAATTTTTTAATTTTAAAACTTTAATTTAATTATCAAAAGTTTATTATTAAGTAGAAAAAAAGAGCTAGTATGAATTAAGTTTAAATAATGAAATAGATTAGGTATAAAAAGAATTAAGAAAAAAAAAATAGTTAGGAAACAAAAGTAGTTAGTATAAATAGAGAAATGATTATTTGCCAATGTATTAAATGCACATGGTGGTTAAAAATACTTTTTTATTTAAAATTTTTAAATAACTAAATAAAATAACAAGAAATAATTTTATCAAGATAGTGGATACAAATAGCAAAAAAATCGTTATATAAAAAATATTTTTTTCTATAAAATTATGTAAAAAAAATATATTATAATATATCTTAAATAAATAATACATTGATCAGTTATTAGTAGAAAGACTATCCACATTAATTGCTAGCATTTTTAAAGAAAATTATAAGAAAATTAAAGATAGAAATTAATTCATATGCTTGTACATGGAAGGAATTCTGCACTATTCTCTAGTAGTAGAAAATGGAGTGTTTATGCTTTTTTTCAATTTGATTTTCAATTGCTAGAGTTTGAACTTAAAGTATTATTATTAGATGTTAAGATTAAATATTATATTCACCAAAAGAATAGTTAGACAACAAAACCATCTCCATAAAAAATGTATGATATTAAGCAAAGAAAAAAGCACAAAGACTTATTAACAACCATCTAAATCCTAAGGTTTCTTTAATAATCCTATTTTCTAAATTTTGGTACTTTAAATGTAATTTAGTATGCAAATTAATAGTTTGGAAATTCAATAAAAACTTTGATGCAAGTTAGAGAGGCTTATTGACTACCTTCAATTGTAGTCAAATTATTATATATATTTTTAAATACCAATCCACAAATATTTAATTTAACAATACTCTCTTATATTAAAGTTGATTAGTTATAGGCAAAATCCATGATAAGAAGGTTATTTCACCAACTATTAATTTGAGCCATACAAAATCTAACTATACTTTAATAGAAATAAAAAATAAAAAATAAAAAATTGTAAGGTATCAAGAACATAAATCATAATAAAACTTTGAAAAAATAATATACTCTTATGACTTTCAATGTCAGAAAGTAGTCAAATTAAAGATAATTATAAGATGAAAACTAAAATAGTTATTGCCAAATACAAAAAACTAGAGATTCTTCAACTAAGACAATAATACAAAAAAGGCAGTGATGAGATTGAAAAAGACCTCATTCTTACCTCCAATCTTTACTATCTAACTAAAGAGCTACGTGGTGGAATATTGTAGGCCATTTGATATGTGTCCAAATTGTAGATTATGTATCTAACTTGCAAGGCAATTTTCTAATATATGTACCACATAGCCAACTTATACCATAAGTGACTAGCATGTATAATGTGTAGCCAACTTATAAAACAAGTACTTAATATGTGTAATACACGACCAAATTGTTAGCCAAGTTTACCACCTTCAAATCACCTATAAACACTTGGAAAGAGAAATCTGCATCTATGCAACTTCTAATAAGCTATTCCACAAGTTATTAAAAAAATTACTTACTTCTATTGAACTCTTCTTATCTTTACTAGTATCAATATGTCTATGACATTAAATATAAGAAGTCAAGAAGTTAAGAACTTTTATACTTAATTGTTACATCAAATATATCTTGTTTACGTATAAAAATAAATAAAAAGATTTAAAAAAAAATTAAGATTTCTTTTTAATATGGACTTTGATAGCATAAATATTATTTGCAATTGATGAACATAATATTATTTCCAAAAAATATTTACCTAAGATACTTTATTAAAATAATATTGTATGGATGTGGTTATTTATTGCAATAAGTAAGAGATTATTTTAATATTTATTTCATCCTAATATTTGAATGTTGTCACAACTTTATTTAATGGTTTAATCTTTTTTTTAAAGAATATAAAAATTAATAATTAAAAAGATGCATAATCAAATTTTATGATTAGACATGATATTTGGACATTGACATAAATTGGTTTTTAAGATTGAGATTAAATTGTAAATGTTTTGGACAATGGTAAATTTAATTATGAAAGTATTGTAAAATACTTAAATCATATTAATATTTTTTTATAATACATATAAATATTGTTTGTAAATTTTTTAACTACCATGTAATAATATCATATCAGATATATATATATATATATATATACACACACACACATATATATACACACATTTATTGCACTTAAATTTATTAAATTAGATAAAATTTAAATGATAGTCGAATTTTTAATTTATATATATATATATATATATGGTGTTTTCATTGCTATCTAAACCTGGTTTCATTATTAAATAAATAAATAAAATATTAAAATTAAATTTTACTATCAGTTTGATTTAATAAAATATTTATTCATTTATTTATTTATATTTATGTTAATATGTATTAAAAATATCAATATAATTATTGATCAGAATAATATATAAATATACATATATATATGTATATGTTGAATTGATTGCAAGTTGTAGTAGATATATGACAATGCATTGTCATTTTTATTTTATATATATATATATATATATATATATATATGTGTGTGTATTCACATATATACAGAATATATGCAAATGTGACTTTGAAAAGAAAGAAGTTATTATGGTGCAAATATTTACCATTATAGTTTATAAACTCTACCTGATCCATCATTTTGATCTGTTTTGTACAGTATTCATAATGTTATTAAGGAACATGTTAAAAACTTGTTAACCAGGAATCAGTGATGCTCAGTCAAATTAGTCTCAGTCAATCACAGTATGATTCCAACACGGTGTATTAGTAGCAAAACTAATCTTGCCTATTTATGTAACAATGACTCTTATTTTTGTTTAATTTTCCTAAAGTGTAGACTGGATCCACTGTACTACGATAAAATCTAAATGAAGTAGAAAAA